TGTTGAAAAACTAGGATTTGGATTTCCTCGATTTGCGAATCTGATAGTAATTTTTATTTTCTCATGTTTTTGTTTTATGGCAGTGGAAAAAAATTAAAAATAAACCTTATTGAATAATTTTGGTACTCACTATATATATAAAATGTTTGTCTGGATAAATTTCACAGTTCAGCAAAACGATTTTCTGGCTTTGACATAATTCTTTTTAATAGTAGTACAAATAAAATTATGTTTGTATTCATGATTGAAGATCTCCCGAAGCAATTTTTTAAAAATTCGACTTAAAAAAATATCGACATTTTTTTTTCGTAAATTAGCAATAGCTTCCGTGTGTAGAAATATTGATTCGACTTGTGAAGGTTAATCTGATGTAAATGTTGTTATTTCTTTATTTCATTTTATTGACTATTGAATTGAAAGTTTTCGTTCACTTGGCACTACAATTGTTAAAAACAAGTGGTACATAAGAAAAGAATGTTTTATTTTCTAATTAAAGAACATTAGTAGCTGTAAATGATGTTAGATTCTTTGAATATAGTTCTAAGATCTTAATCGCGAAAAATCTTCTTTTTTTTCTCATTATAATGCCTCTTTTTAGCTCATTCACTAGATCTACTAATTCTTAATTTATAATCTTGAACAAAGAAGAGAAGTTATTTTAGTTCATCTTTCTGATATAATTACAGTTTATTGACTGTTGTTCAGATATCAAAGTAGATTCATTCAATGCACAAAATTCTATAAATTTTCAATACTTACTTTTACAAAAAACGTTTTATCAAAAAGATTCATTAATTAACAAACATATCCTTGTGAGCTTATCTAGTTCTATATCAATAATGATACCGAAAATATTTCGAATTCCAAGACTAACTGATAAATCCCAATAATAAGACCTAAATTTTCGTTAGCTAAAAAGAAAAATTTATTGCGATCGAAATCGAAAAGAGAAACTCTCATGAAGGAATAGATATTTCAACTGAAGTTGTAGTGGCTGTAGAAAAATTACTAGATTCCATCGAATCGAAAATTTTCGGACCTGATCGAGTCTGAGACTAATCTCCAACGGGCTCTACAAAGTACAGTTTTCATACGTCATGTTGGTTTCCAATGTCATACTGCCTTTGCAACATTCGTAGAAGAAGTTTAGGAGCCGTCTATTGTATCGGAAAAGAAAAAAGGTGTAGGTGGGAGTGTAGAGTATGAGTGACACTGTCGTTATGAATGGATTCGGGCGTTGGTATCAATGTTTTTTTCTCTTCACACTTATACTCTGAAATATTAAAGTATCTGACATAGTACTCGTCTTTGTCCTGTAATGATCTCTTTCTCAATGTTGCAGAAACTTCATATTAGTTATTTTGCATTTTATTATTATCTGAAAAAAAGGTTTTTTTTTTTATTCCTTTTATTTTTATAAGTAAATGACCATGTTCATCTATGGCATTTGTTTATGTTTTTTAACTAATTTATAAAATGAATTTAAAACTCTTAACATGATTAATCTTAATAAACCAGTCAATAATGATTGACAAATAATCTCACTAATTGTAGTAACTGGTTGAGCACCACAAGTCAAACAAGTTAATAAAAATCCATTAATACCATATGAACATGTAAATGAACCTTTTCGTGTCGCTTGAATAATTTTTTTTGCTACAAGATCAGCTGATAGAAGACCTGATGTTTCATTAATCATTTGTGTTTCTTTTGGTTTTGTTTTATTTTCTTCTTTAAAACCTGGTGTATCTGTATCTGGTGGAAAAACTAATGTTATATAAATATTTTCTCGTGCTAATTCCATTTGAAGTGATTCAGCTAAACCTTTCAATGCAAATTTCGTTGAACAATAAGATGTATAACCAAATACACCTAATTGACCAGCCTGTGATGATATAAAAACAATCCGACCTGAACCTCGACGTTTCATTGAGGGTAAACATGCTTGTGTACAATAAATACTACCCAAATAATTAATACGTACTAAATTAAATCCGTTTGTTTAGTTCTAATTAGTTTTTATTTTTAATTCTTACTCATCTCTGCAAATTCTTCTGGTTTCATTTCACGAAATGGTCGAGCATAAAAAATTGCTGCATTATTTATTAAAATATCAATTGGTTTATCTTGATGATGACGTATAGAATGTTCAATAGCATTTTCAACTTGTTCATATGATTCAGATATATCAACAGATAAACATAAAAGACGATCACTTAAATTTGGAGATAATTCTCTTCGACATTCTTCAAGACGTTCACTATTTCGAGCTAATATAGTAACACGTGATCCATATTCATTAAGAAATAATCGTGCTAATTCTTTTCCAATACCACTAGATCCACCAGTTATAAGTACATGATAATCATATAGATCTTCAAGATATTTCGGACGATATAATGGACGGTAAAGATAAATTAAAATAGTTAATAATGCTAAAGCACCAATACAAGCAAGAATAATAGCAAGCAACATTTATCTTTTTATCAAATAAACTAAAATAACGAACACAAAGAAGAAGTCGAGTTGAATAAGAACAAAGTTTTATCAGATGTTAACATAAAGTATCATAAAAAAAAAGATTCAGAAATAAGATTATTCTTTTTTTCTAGAATATTAAAACACAAGCATCTACCAAAATTTATTATTTTTGTAAACATCTATTGGATTGATTCAAGCAATGATTCTTCTGTAGCATTCTTGTCTGTTTATTGATATAAAACAGATAGATTATTATTAGTATTATTATACTTGTTTCATCTTGCCTTGAAAATATTCTATTAGGACCATTAATGAGATGATAATTGACGATATATGTCAATGTCAACGAGAAAGTTGAGTCTGCTAGAATAAAATTAATACGAAAAAAAAATGAAGGCGTTGTCTCTGTTCTTTAGTATATCTAGGTCGCCATAGTGTACTGGTTTTTTTTCATCTTTCTGCTCTTTGATTTACGTCACTATGAAAAAAAAGGTCATCACGTTTATTTGTGTATATGTTTCAATATTATTTTCTTTGAATTTCCATTTATTCACGTTGTTAATACATGGTTGGTCAAAACTATAGTTGATAAATAAAAATCATTTACTTCTTTTTTTTATTTTATATTCATTATGTCAACATATTATTTTTCAATAGTGCATGAAAATGAACAAAAAACAAAATTCAATTTTCGTCTTATGCAAATGTAGAATTTTTTTAGGCATCAAATATTGTGCTACTGCATACGAAAACGATAGAATAAATTAATCCTTTTTTTGGTTTCTTATGTTATTTTTTTAACTCATTGTGTAAAAGAGAAATCAGTACAGTTACGGACAAAAAGCATCAGAATAATGGAAGGTTAGATTAATATCTGGTTATAGATTGTATTTAGACAGAATACTTTAGATAAAATATCATATTCTCAAGTCAATGTCACCAAAATATCTCGTCAACAATTGTTGAAATATCAGCATTATCGACCAGCAACATCAAATCCATTTATTCATGTAATTTTTTTAGTCATTGAATACTACTAGTTGTCCTCAAAAAGCATAAATCTGTTGTATTTTATCGTTTTTTTCTAATTCATTTTTTATTGAAACAGGTTTCGGCAAAGGCTGACACTCAAAATCAGCGAATTAAATCAAAGGAAATATCAAATATTCGAACACCGGTAAAAATTTCTAGACATATTAGTAAAATTTATCGACGACACTCTTTTCTAATAAAAATAAGAGGTATTCTAGCTTTTCTTTTCCAATCGAAGTATTGGAGTAAAAAAAATACTTTATGTAAAGCACGATCTAAAAGGAATGCTGATGGATAAGGATAGAAATTCAGATCCTACCTCATACACACAAATGTAACAGAAATTTGATGAGGAAACTATTCGAATTGGTACCGACCGTTTAAACTCATATTAGGTTCAATAAAGGTCTCAGTTAGACTAGAAAAAGCCTAGAATAGTTGATTTCCATAGAGTTTTGGAGTCGGTCGATGGTTGTTGTATTGAATTTTGAACCTTATTTTAGGTATTTCAATCTGAAATTTGACCGACAAATAGATCAAATGACTAGAAGAATATTCTGAAAATTTCAGGCGAAAGGAATGTTTCTTTGTCGTGATATTGAATTTTTAAGTAAATTTGATTTTGTAGCATACCTCTGGCAAACGGCCATTTTATATCATAGATTGTATATCAATAACGTCTCGTTATAATACTTGAACTACTTTCATTATGCGTTTCACGAGGATTGAATAAAAGTATGGTGAAGACATGTGTCCCAAAATAAATAAAATGAAACAATCTTCCTTTGATTAACAACAGCAACAACATCATGTTTCACATTTTAATCCCACAGAAATTGCACTAACAACTTTTTTCATCTCATAGTTAACCCCATATATAGCGAATAATGAATATTCTAAAAAGGTTTTGCAAAAAGAAAATGTACAGCTAAGCGATCAAATATTCAACATTGACAAAAGTTTCATCTTAAAATCAACCAAAGTGGCTCCTGGTCAGGTTAATATAAATGTCTTTTTTATCAAGTAACTTATTTTAATTTATATTATGGAGTTTCTTTAGAACTTCAATATTGATAATGATCATATGAAAGTAGTATAACGATTTATTTATTTTGATTAATTATAAAAATTTATCTCTTGATTTAAATTAGAAAAAAGATCGAACCGGTGTTATAATGGATTATCATAAATATCGTAAAAAAAATAAAAATAAAAAGTGTGCATTTTGAATTTCTTCTTCTTAATAATAGTTTGATTTAATAATATATATTCTATCTAGATGTTCACGTCGGTGTATTGTTTTAACGTTACTTTTGATTCTCATTCTTATTGTGATCATCGCTATCATTCTAGTTGTTCTTTTAATTAAACTGAATCAAACAGCAATGGCAAATGGAAGTAAGTCATTGCATCTCCTTCATTTCGATTACATTGAAAAAAAAAGGGAATATATTATTTATCTTAAAATGACAAACTATATTAAACACATGTATATTTCTGCTTTAGAAAATGAAGCTGTACTTCGTTGGAACACGACTGGTATTACTATAGCTGGTATTAGTAATGAATCGGGTAGTGATAGTACTCATCTAAATACACCTTGGGATGTGACATTGGATTATCAAAATTCACTTTATATTGCTGATCGAAATAATCATCGAATTCAAAAATATCTCGTCGGTTCATTGAGTGGAATCACAGTAGCAGGACAAGCGAATGGTACATCAGGTTCTACTCTCAGCTATTTACAGAATCCTTCACGAGTCCTTGTTGATGTCAATGGAGATATGTATATAACAGATACAGGCAATCAACGTATTTTATCTTGGTCTCATAGTGCTTCTTCAGCAGTAATAATCGCTGGTACAGGTAAGAACTATGCAATTAATCACTATTCTCTTTTCATAACAAATGACAATACTATATTTATTTAACTTACATTTTTATAGGCATAGGAGGAAGTTCAAATAATCAACTTCGTACACCATATGGAATAGTACGTGATTTAAGTTCTGATAAACTTTATATAGCAGACTATTCAAATGATCGTATTATGTTATATTTAAATGGTGCATCATCAGGTACTGTTATTGCAGGTGGCAACGGATCAGGAATAAACAAAACACAATTAAAAACTCCTGTCGGTCTCTACTTTGATTCTTTATCAAATAGTCTTGTTATTGCAAATCATGGTGCCTCAAATGTTATTCAATGGGTAGTTGGTGAAACGAGTTGGACACTACTGGCTGGCAGCATTAATGGAACAGCAGAAAATACATCAACATTAATGAATGGTGTTGTAGATATAACATTTGACCCTATGGGTAATATGTATGTTGCTGATAGAAATAATCATCGAATTCAATTATTTATGGTCGGTCAATCAAATGGAATAACTATTTCAGGTGTCACAGGTATATCTGGTGCCAATGCCACTCTACTAAACAAGCCATGGTCAATAAAACTTGATAGTCAATTAAATTTATAAGTGGCCGATGCAAATAATCATCGTATACAAAAATGTTTACGTTATTAAATTCAAACATAATTGATTTATAAAAAGACAATGATGAACTCTATTTGTTGTGTTTCTTACATTTAAATATATTTTCATTGTTTTAAACATGAATAACTTAAAATAAAATAATCAATCCAATTCTGAAAATGTTTTTTTTTTGTTTTTTTTTCAAAGAGCAGTTGTTGTTTCTTTGGATAATTTATCGTAAATACATTACTGTGATTTATTTCAACAAATGTTTAGAATAATATTTATTTTCGAATTGTTTGTAATTGATTAGATTCTTTTCTCAAACTTTTTTTGCATTTATAATTTGATCGTTAAATATTTCACTTTACATACAGTGTTGAGTATGTTTAGGATCTGCAACAAATCAACTCTGGCAAATATATATTGAACCTCATAGTTCATTAACTTTGTCATATTAATTTCAGCTACATTGTTCGTATTATTGACACAACCTAATACATTCTTAGCTTTTCCTGACTATTGTTCATGATCAGCCTGTCTATTTACTCATCCATAGTTTTTCTTGTAAGATACACTAGAAGAATTCTAGTGTATCTTAATCAGTCAAATCATTCAGTTTACGAGTTAGCCAAAAACCAAAAATTCGTACGACAACTAACATCAACTGCGCTTACGTGTTTGCATAATTTGCTTTAAATTGATTAGGCATTTTTTCTCCAAAAAAGATATAGACTAAAGATCAAATGTATTAGTAACTCATGCACCCATTGTTAGAGTTTAAACATATCTCTAAGCGTTTATAACAATGTAACTGGACGCGTTCAAAGCGAGTAAATGCGTCTTCGCTTGTTCGAATTCTGAATAGCATCACTACTGGTTTACATCAAAAGATGTGTTTGAATGCGTTTAAAACGCAAGATTTTCGGGCGTGTGAACGCGTTGCGATATGGTTATGAAGTAAACGCGTCCAGACGTGTTTACTTTTGTTCCCAAAAAATTAAAAAATCATCATCACTCTATGTCGGATTCGAACCGACGCACGATAGCGAACTGTGATATAACACTCAAATACTATGAACAACAGAACGGTGATTTTTCCTATAACAACGTGAATTAAGATTCGAGCCCATGATCAATCGATTGTCAATCAAACATAATTAGCTCTGAGCTATACACAGCTCGAATTTTTTTTTATATTCATGAATTAGATGAATAATTCTTTTTATATTGCTTGCTAGAAATTTCAGAGTAGTAGTGTTAATGTTTCTTTACTTCGAAAAATTAATGTAAGTAAGATATTAATATAGGATAATTATGTTCGTAAAATCAAGATAAATTTATTCTTTATATTTAAAAAACAAAGAAAAAACAATAATATTTTACTATTTACAAAATAATGAAAGATTTCCCTCTGTTGCGATAGGTAAATAGACGAATTCGCGATAAAAAAATAATAATTAATTTTTTTTTCTTCTCACTAATAGCACTTCAATATTCAATGTTGTTAAAAACTTAGGATGCTGCGACAAAGGCTGCATGCCAAACAACTTGTTTGTGTAGTTATTTGTAATTATAATAATAGAATTTTTTTTACATATCTGGAGAAAATCAAGATTAGATTTTCATAGAATGTACCGTTTTTAATATTTGATTTTCCATATATTTTTCCAAATTAAAATATTCATTTATCTTTTTTTTTATAATCATAAATCAAAAATGTATTTGTATTCATTTTTTTTAGATAATAAAGATTTATTATTTATTGATCCTTATTACACGAACGGAAAAGTTTTATTTTCATTTATTCTTCATTATAAAGAATAGTAGAGATAAACTAACATCTCTATGTGAAAAAGCACTATTAGTAAACTTTAGATAAAATTAAATAGTTGAAAATAAAAATAACATATTCATAGAATTTATTTCTTCTTTATTCAGGAAAAAGATGATGAAATTTATAACAATACTTTAAGATCATAATCTATCGTCTATGCATCAGTAAACATTTTAGCGATAAAGCAGAACGAAACATAGTGTTGTCAGCAGTTTAATATTTTCAATAAAAAATATGTGAATAAAGATTAATTACAACAGGGATACTCATTTTATATAATTATTCTATTAAATCAAACTCAATTTGGTTAAATCTTAATAACAACAATGAAACCTGACTGCTAGAATCCGGTTCGATTCCAACACAGTGCTGGTTATTCCTTAGCTTTTTTTGGAAATAATGTAAATGCGTTCAAACGCATCAAATTACATTGGTCATAACCGGTCAGGGACGCGTTACAAGTCTAAAAATATATACATGAGCAGTAAAAAGAGTATCGTCAAATGACTCTGAATTCCATAAAAATAGATAGTTTTTCTTATAGGGTCAACTACTTGAATCTTTATTCTAAACTTAGATCAATTTATGTGATTTTGACTTACTATACATTGAAATAACGAAGAAAGAGAATAATTGTAACCAATTGAAAACTTGAAGAGAAATTGTCGAAATTATCGTTCTTGAAACATAGCTAACAAAGAATCGTTCACAAACGCGTTCTTTGGTTGTAGTATTTCTGTTCAACTGAATCAAAAGAAAAACTGATACGTCTAGCTAACTGAATTAAACAATAATTTTTTTGCTTCCATTTATTAGCGTCCAAATCTAATAACATGACGTCAAGTCCTTTCTCCAATTTCAGTAGTATTCCAAGGAAGACGTATCTCGCTGGACTCATAATCACATTTTTGTCTAGATGCAACTTTCTTCGTTTGCACATCGATCTGCACTAGCTACTCTAACTGTATTACTATACGCTCAGTGACGTTTCAAAAGGTAATGCATGCGAACGCGTTTCAACAAATTTGATTGATTGATAGACGTACCTCGAGAAACGTGTTTTATCGTCCCTGTGAGTTAGATAACGTTTACTAGAGAATTGATAGCTTCTGCTAGCCATTAAGCATGATCCAACGCATTTTAAAATAAGAACTTAAAATCATTTGTATGCATTTAGCTCTGTTAATACCCATAAAATATTAATTATCTCTAAACGCGTTCAAGACACATAGTGGTGAGTGCGTCTAACGGTGTTTCCATCATGCTTTGGTACTAAGATGCGTCAGGACACCGAAATTTGTAACAAAACCGCATCTAGCTGTGTCTAAAATGCGTTTAGTGGTTACATGGGAAGTTGAAGTATCTGAATGTTTTCTTGAACGAACAAATCAAATCTGTTGTTGAGCACATTTCCTTACATCTCTCTTGTCTATTCATATTTTCTCTAAAGATGTTCACCTATAGTTAGTGTATTATAGATCCATTCTGTGACATTTCATAATCTTTACATTTTAGCTTATGAAGTCATCCTCGGTAGACTTTTATTAAAAAAACAAAATCTTCGATTGATATATTAGTTATCTCGTTTTCGATAATAACATCTATATCTTGCCATAAATTTTCTAAAAGAATGAATGATTAACTTGAGTAATTCTGTCTTTGTTATCGTTTATAAAGTAAATGGCAAATAAATACTATTCGAACTTTTGATAGTGAATGATCCCTCAAGATACTATAAATTAATAGCAGACAAAAAGAAAGAATATACTGTTCTCCTTTATTTTATTTTCTGTTCCTTTTGGCTTTTTTCTCTTTCTATATAAATATCAGGTCTCTTGCTGCTTCTTGTTTTTTACAAATGTGAGTCAAATTCTCTGCATGCATAATATTATCTTACGCTCTACGTTAGTGCTTTTTTTTGCAAACGTCATTCCATTTTTCTGTCTTTAACATTTATTAATTATTGTGCAGTATTACAGTTAAAGTAAAACAAAAAAGAATGTAAAGTTTGCTCTTTCAAACAGCAACAACAGAATTAAGCTATGCGTTCTACAGACGATTGATATGAATATTTGTTTTTGGAAAATGTTTCTCAGATAACTATGTCAGATGCCATTGCGGCAATGTTATAAGTAAGAAATGGCTATATCAGAACAAAATGCAATTTCAACGGACAATCTCTAATTTTTATTTAATATCATTGAATATTATTCAAGAGATACATAGTTGAATTTATGTCAATCTATCTTCATATACTATATAAGAGAGTACCAAAACCTAGATAGTATCTATGGGAAAGTGAACAGCAATAATTATACTGTTCAGCTATTTACATAATCGGAAAAGTACAATTTAGTATGGAGTAAAAAAGATGTAAACAAGAAGTAATACAGTCTGTCTTTAGTTTATAGCACACAAGCAATAATTCATAATTATAATGAATTGAAAGGTGAAGGCATTAAGCCGAATACATACGAACGATGAACATATTTCTTTCTTTTGAGCACTTCTATATTAGTAGACTCTGATATTCATTTTTTTTTTTTATTAATTAAGCATAAAATCTTCATACGAGTCACTTATAACGGTAAATATATCGTATTGCTTATTTGATTCTATTTTGTCTCTTTGAAAATAACGCGTTAATTAACATAAATTCAAATAAAATGAGTTGATATTTTTCAAAGAAAATACGCCGGACAATCAAATTCTTGATTAAAATTAATGTTTGTGACAAGCATTTGTTATATTTTAGATCACAGTATGAAAGAAAAAAAGAGGATATACCGCGTCACCTTGTAATCCAAACAGCAAATTTGCAGAAAGTACTTTATCTAAATAAAAACAAAATAGAAAGTGAATCATTGATTTCAATAAAATCTTCTCTTGATTTTGTTAATCGTTGCTTATGTATTTTTTTCTTCAAGAACACTTGAACATGTCTGTGCTGACAAACTTGTTAATGATCAAACGATATAAAATATTTTAATTTTTGTTTTTGTGCATAAAGTATATTGGAATTTCCTTGATGAAAGTTACTTCAACTGCAAACAAAAATTGAAAAGAACATTGCCTGTAAACAATATTCCATAACCATGTCAAACAAAACTCAGTCAACTTTAGGTCATTTTTTATGTAGTTCAAAATGTTGATTTTCAAAGTCATATTTATGATTTATGCGATTTAAAGTTTTTTATCATACATGTATCGATGGTATTTTAATTGATTCTATAATTATAAATGAGTTCATCATCTTTTACATATTTGGTTTAGCGCCATTTTTATTCGACATTACACTTTTACACTTGCGATGGAATTCTTTCAATTTACTACTATCTGTCAGATAATCAGCATGAACATATCTGTTGACTGAATGCAATCAAAAAAATAAAACCAACAAGAATTAATTCATTTAAATCTTGTCTTTGGAATATGTGCATATCGTAGATGTAGATTAAATTATTGCATGCATTTGGCATCACATTCAATAGTATTAACAGCATGATCAATAATTAAAGTTTCTTTTATTATTGAAACAACCAACAGGTATGTGCAGGTTGTTTATGATCCAGGCTCAAATAGCTTTTATAAAAATGAAAAAAAAAAAAGAAAAAAAAAAGGATTATCAAGATTAGTCGAAAGCTTCTCTTTCATTTCAACTTGTTTTAAAATATGTTTTAGTATTAATTTAGATTTGTTTCAATGATATTATATGAAATAGAATATGAAGTAGAGTTATATTTACAAGATCAAAGAAGAATAAAATTTACGTTTGCGTATTTATTTAAAAAACAAAGCAAAAAAAGAAAGAAAAGTTTTTATCAATAACTTACTATTTTTTTTCTTTCTGTTTGTCATTCATTTTCTGTTGTCGTTTATCGAAGATTTACATGCACCTCTTATGTACCCATTTTATGAATTAGAATACCCGGTACTTTAGAGGTTAACAGAAAAAAAGCAACACAAATAACATAGTGAGACATGAGCCAATCATTTCAATTTGTTAGAATGAAAGAAGAAAAGAATTTCTTCTATACAGATGAAAAAATGCATTGTCAGTATTATGAGATTGCAAATTAACAATTCATCTTTTTTTTTTTTTCTACTCTATATATACACACAATGAAAGCTTATTCACTGAAGAATAAATTACTATTTTTGTTTTGCATAGCAGACATCTAGTAGAAGAAGACATATCGGTAAGATACAGTTTCTATAAAATAAATATATTTTCTGTTTTTCTATAATCAATGCCAAAATTTTCTCTCCTGATGATGAAAGGACTCTTATTTTGGTAAGCCGTCTTGAAAAATACTAATAGGTTGATTTTCGATTCTTCAAGACATGTGAAGAATTAGTCTGAAAAAAAAATTGAATTACCTTGCATCATATAGTCTGAGCATGTGTAAAGATAATGTAAAAGTCAATCTTGTACTTATGAAGCTTTTATTATTTTGTTTTACTTTTTCTTGAAGTGTATGTTTATAATATACCTATGTCTTGTATTCAAACTACTGCTTTTTTTTTCTTTTTGATTTATTCAAAAGTACGTTACAGTGGGATTTTGTTTGCAGATATTGTTTAAAATTTGAATTGCAAAAATCAACATTAAGGAGCAAATAAATCAGAAGCAACAATTGAACTAGACAAAATGATGACGATAGCATTAGAAGAGAAGAACGCAGAGTAAGTTTATTTCAAAGAAAAACGATTATTTTTATTTTTAATGTTGAAATTGTTTTTTTTCTATTAGTAGTATTAATAATACTTCAAAAACTGATTTGGTTCCAGTAACTAAAGGTGGTCGTTATGGTATTAAAAGCGTTTTAGCAGATATTCGTACGATTCTATATGCGATAAGTTTTGGTATATTGTTTGGATTTTTTATGAATAAAGGCACAGTATTTGTGGCTCCTACTATTCGTAAACAAATGTTACTTCAACGTTTTGCAATGTTAAAAATGTTTCTTGCTGCTGTTGGAGTATCTATGTTAAGTGTAATATTACTTGTTCTATGTTGTAATAAATTATATGAGAAAATTCTTAATGGTTATATTGAACATAATAGTCGTCGAGACAGTAAGCAACTTTTTTTCTTCAACTCTTTGCAAAATTTAATTGATATTGAAATTTGAAAATTTTAGTTCTTCATTATATATTTGGTGGTACTCTAATTGGATTAGGAATGGTCATATGTGGCAGTTGTCCAGGAACAGTTTTTGTTCAAGTGTAATTATGATTATTATTTGATATAAGATTTTTGTGAGAAACTATCTAAAAGGAGTGTAGATGTATATAGGATATAATAATATTTGAACTACTGCCTTATTGCATTTCTGAAGGATTAAGTAAGAGGATCATGAAGAAATGTATTTAAAATCAGATAGAATAAATCCAGTTATCTATGATTAGCAACAACAGTTACATAATCTTTCACATTTTAACCCCACAGAGACTGTGTTATTATTTTGATTTCCATGTTTTCTAGAGGCTCCGGTATTGTTAATTCTCTATTTACTTGTTTGGGTGGTCTTCTTGGCACTTATTTCTATTATATATTTGTACATGAACGTATTTCAATAGAAAAACTTCCTTCAACATCACTTGTTCTTCGACGTATTTGTGATATACTTCCTATTTCAAGTATTATATGCCATACAATATTCGGTCTTATCTTCCTTGGTGTTGCTATTGGTCTAGAATTTGCAGTTCCTTGGAAATCTGATTTAAATCCTGGCTTATTAACAAAGGGTACTCTTAATCCAGAAAATGCAACTGGCCATTTCTTGGGTTTGGCTGCTTGGCCACCGTCAGCTTGTGGTGCTGGTATTGGTCTTTTACAATTGTTTTTCATATTTTTTCTCGAGAAATCATTAGGAGTTTCATCAGCATTTACCGTATTTGCTGCTCAAGTGTGTCGCATTAAAATAATTGGTCGAGTACTACCATCATTGAATTCATTTGCCTATGGAATTAAGAATTATGTAGCAATTCTATTTGCTTTGGGAGCTATTGGTGGTAGTGCTCTCTCATCGGGCTTATCAAAAACAATTCCATTAGGTTCAGAAAATGGAACAAATATACTTAGTAGTATTCTTGGAGGATTTATATTACTGTTAGGAGCACGTTGTGCAGGTGGATGTACTAGTGGACAAGGAATTTCAGGTACGAATGAAAATCATCTTTCATAGTTCATATAGAAATAAATTTGTTTTTTTTTTAATATTATTTAAAGGCACGACACATCTTCTAATAGGTTCATTCATCACGACAGCATGCATATTTGGTGGTGGCATTATTTTTGCCTTCAGCTTTTCATTAAGTAATAATGAATGGCTCTTTCAGAACCTTTAAATTCTCTATTATTCTTAACTACATTTAATGAGCAAAAATTCTGTAATTATAGTCAAAACTAATTTTATTTTTGTAAATAAACAAATGAAAAAGAAAAATCTTGACAGATAGTTGCTGATAAATTGCTTCGATGAATAATTATTACATTTAAACATTATTAATTCGAGTTTACTGATAAGGAAATACTTGAAAATACTACTTTTTGGAATACATTATTTGTAAATATCATCTATTCCAGCGTTTGAAATATGAATGCAGTTTCAGAAATAAATTTACAACATATGCGAAATAAACATCAAGTAATAACGTAGTGCTTGTGAAAGCCCAGCATGAATTTAAGACAATCAATCAGAGAATATAATCAATTTACTGGCATGATACCAAAGATTTATCGTATATCTGATTATAAAGTAACATCTGAACGTTGAGAACTACGTGAGATTTTACGTAGCTCATTGCATATATTTCAAACTGCATAGCAAAATCTATTGTTTCTTAAATATGAATAAAAAACGATAGAGCTGAAATGCATTAGCACATATCAAAGTAAGTTATATACTACTTCTGATTGGTAGCATTCAGTTTGTAATCTTTATCTGTTAGTTAGTAAGAACAACTTGTTATTCTATGAAGAAAAGAAGCATAAGGTATAATCTTCAATAGTTTTATTAAATATTTTCCTTTCAGTGCTTACAAGAGGAGAATTACAAAAAATTCTGAATTCCAGGACTCTCTTAAGGTCTCTAGAATTTCCTAGGATTACTATTAGTAATCTAACAACCTATTAGGAGATGCTATTAACGTTACAATAGCCTTTCATATTGATATCTCTTCTTTCCTTGTTTTTTTCAATTCGTTGGCAGCCATCGGTATTCGGTAATACCAATGAATCGTCAATTGTGTTTCGTTGCTTTACAATTCGTGAAATCACGTTATCTCTGTTGCTAGAGTTTTTATTCAACGGGTTTCCACATTTATCGACTAATGGATTTCTTTTGTTAATAACTAAACTTACATATTCGTTGATATCAATGATTATCTAATGAGTATTTCAGTATTCAGAAATGTTTGAATCATTTTTGGATGAGGTGAGTGTGCAATGTGGGTGTAGGTATCGATGTAGTTGTGTTGATGTGGAGTTTCTTCTCATGCAATCTACATGCACATTCGCACCTACACCCTCAATATTTCGCCCATCTCTTCTATTTTCATTATTTGGACTGAAACTATTTTTCAACGATTTCTCATGCAATTCTCTACAAGAAGGTATAAGAAGAATTCATGCGAAGGTGCAATTATGAATAGTCGAAGAACAGTTTTTCTTTGTTTTACTTGTGAATATAACATGACATTACCAAATAGAAAAGATATGTTTGAATGTTAGAGGAGCATATTTTGTGAGCCAATATAATTTGTTTCATATTAACAAAGTTTTCTAAAGGATAAGTATTTATTTTCTTGACTTAAAAAAAAATCTTGCGTTGAAAACAGTCAAGAAAAATCTTCATAAATCAATAAAAAACTAAATCTTTATCATGTAATTTTATCTTCAATGTAACAAGACATGAATGAAGTACTGAAGTAACAGATGAAATTTTGATTACCTTATTTTTCGAAAATGTAACGTAAAAAATTGAAAGAATCTGCCTAATTTGTAATAAATGTGAAGAAAGCCCTTCTTAAATTAAAACACAACTGACTTTCTCTACGCCATAAAAAGAATAGACTGTAAATTGCGATAGTAATTTGTGTCATGGGTTTCTTGATTTCATGCTTCTTTTGCCTACGATCGACGGCTAAAACGAATGTTAATTTATAAAAAGATTCATTAAGTGATATTCTATTGATATTATGACGAAGAAGATTGACTGGCACTGGTATCAAAAAGAAAGCGAAGACAAAGCAATGGAGAGTATTCTTGATATTTTTGTGGTCTTAATAACAATTTGATCAAACATATGTACTTACAAAGACAGATATGTTCAGTCATCTAAACAGAGCTGAGAAAACAATCAAATTGTTCACAATAACAAGAAGGATGCAAATTATGACTTCTTATTGTCGACAGAAAATCAGTGATTACCAGAAATTATTTTTACGCAGTCTATCAAGGTTTTTCAATAAAGTCCTATATCTCTGGGAATAAATCTCGTGACATTTCGCCTTGAAAACATGCATACCTACAATATAGGTATACTGAATTGTTAATCTAACCCAGTAATCTAATTCCTTTATGTTGATTTGAGTTTCATATTGGTGAACATGTGTCCGTAGTATAACGAGAAGAGAAAGGCTCATTAATGTAAACTCATTAATTTCTTTAAAGTCCTTGAGTGTTCATATCTGTTAAAGCGAGTACTATGTAATTAGTGTAAGTGCTCAACTGTATATGCGTGTTGGTTTCAGAGTCATATTGCCCGCTGAAGTCCTAAAGTCTGTCAAGAACCTATATATGATGTCAGTCAATGTGCTGAATCTTTTGAAAGACAGAGATTTGAACTCAACGAAGTCGGAATTCTCCTAAAGAGAATGTTATTAATGTAGTCTGCGTTCTGAAGTGTTCATGTCTCTTAAAACGATTGCCATGAAGTTAGTGAATGTCATTAGGTCTTAAATCGTGTCGAAGTCAGATTCATGAAGTCAAGTGGAATCCTACAGTGATGAAAGCTTTTTGTGTATTGAAGTCAAAGTCTTTAAGGCAATCTGACTTATAGTGTCCATATTTCTGTCGAAGACAAAATGTTGATGTCATTTCGAGTCTTGAGGCTTTTAGTTTCGTTACGGTTGAAGTGAAGTTTTCGTGTTTGCGTTTTTCTTTCGGAACTTTTATCGGATCAGCTGGAAAAATTATATCCTGCGTTGTAAAGAAATAAATATCTGTCTTTTGTTTTTCAAAATGCTTTCAAGATATTTTATTCTGCTGATGTGTTCAAACAGACGATTCATAAAAACGTAAACTTATTTTTCAAAACGATACGTCATAGCATTCTTTAATTAAATGAACACAAAAATTATTGTGGCTTGTGCTAATAAATTTGAAGAGAGCTAAAAGAAACGGTATATGAGAGTCTATAGTTTCTCACTGTTCAGAATTATTTTTCTTTTTGTTTCAGCTAAACAGTAATCACATTTTTCAGACGTTTGAATCTTTCCGACTTTTTTCAAACGTTAAGATGCTTCCTTTATCGAGATGATGGTATTCAGAAATGAGTTTTTGTATAATTGATGTGATTTAGATTATAAATGTGTTTCTTTTAAAGCGTTTGCATCGATATCAAAGTGAGAAACTACAACATTTGATGAGTCTTTTTTTTTTAGCTCTCTCCAAATCGACTAGCACAAGTCGGGATCATTTTTCTTTTGCTATTGTACAGAATATCAAGATGCATCTTTTGAAAATATTTAAGATTTCATCATTTACCTTTGTGGAGATATATGGAGAATAAATTATGCTGCAAGAATTTCGAAACATCCAGTATTTATTTTACATTCTCTCGCAAATGAAGATTTCTTCATGTTTTCCATTATTCCTCTGCTATCACTCTTCTGTATAAATCGGCTGAAAGGATCCTCAAACGGCCGAAACTAGCACTATATTCGGTTGCAATCTGTTGACAGGGATGATAATGCTTGTACTTGAATGAAACATAATGGAACGAAGAAGGGGAACGCCGGCATTCTTTTAATGCCCTAACGATTTAGTGCAGCTCTTCGATTCTTACAGTATAATTTGTCATAATACATTCAAGTTTTTAGGCACTAAAAGATATAAAAACAAGTCGAGATTCTCTCAGGAACAAAGCATGGTTTTGAATTCTCCGAATTCTAATGGTTTTACAAAACAATTCCACATAAATTGCACAAGGTTTATATCAGGCATGCCGAGAAATTCCTAAACTACTAAAGTAACGATGAAAACATACAAAAAGGCTTTAAATAAAAAAATATCGAAAGCGCAAAGATTTTTGAATCAAAAGCGGTTTTCAGAAATAGCACCAGGGTTTCTAAGAAAATACTTTTTTTAGAATTTTCACAGAACCCGTTTGGCACATTTTTTCAGTGTAGTGCAAGCGAGCTGCGCTGAAATCCTCTTTCTTAAACGGAGCTCTGCATTTAAAGAAATGGTGGGAGACAAACCTATTCTAAACACTTGAAACCTTTTTCTATATTGAATAGTTATTTAAAGTTTCTAGAACCTTTTATGGCTTAGTGATAACCAAACTGAACCTAAAAAAGTTCAGAATCTGTGCTAAAACCCTCAATGGTTCCTTATGATACCTTTTTTAAAATAAATTACACATTCACACCAACACCGACTCATTGACACATCTCCTAATTGGAATGTGAATGATTTGAATCTATTTTGTGCCATTATTAGCTTCACTCTCGTCACGACTGCACTGGGATAGTTTCTGATCGCACGCGCTAACGAATAGAATAATCATTTCTTTTCACATTCAATGTCATTCACTTGAGAAGGAGAACTAAAAAAATGTAATCATCCTTTTGAAGTCTATTCCATAGAAAATCGTTGAATACGATGATTCCGATGGTCAACGGCGTAGATATTTCCATGCCGATCGAAAGACAAACCCCTGAGCTCGTTAAACTGATTTGCTCTCGCTCCTACGCCATGTCCACCCACAATAATAGTGCCCTGCTTCGCTTCTTGAGGCCAACGTATCACTCGATGATTTTGGGCATCTGCTACGTAGAGGGTTCCGAACGTATCGACGAACAATCCTTTTGGATCCCATAATTGTGTTAGGTCATTCCCTACATTTCGACCACCCGCGACAACAATTCCCTCTGCTGCGCCTTTATTCCATTTCATCAC